CACCATGAGTCAGCCATCAGTCCCTACTTTTGCCAGTGCTCCTTTTGAAGCACAGCCACTAAAACAGTCATTGGAAAAACTGGAGGAAGGGCAATGCAGTAAGAAGCTTCTGCCCCATTGGGGACAACAGCACAGGCCAGAACTCAGACCCCCCCCCCCCCCTGACTTTTTGCTAGGCCAGTAGCCATCTTATTGAGCCATATACTCCAGCTTTACTCTTCTGTCCCCAAATGACTCCTACATATCAGCTTAAAAAATGCTAAAGAACACATGAGAAAATGGCAGACCTGTGATGTTGTGGTCACAGTAGTGTGCTGAGAAGTCAAAACAGAACCAAGTTCAAACGTTTTTGCAGGGGGAGTAGAGCTACGGGCTTAAACCTTCCCAGGCCCCTTGAAGAAAACTTCCTTAACATTTCTGTACATATCTAAACTGTTTGAACTTGCAGAGGTTTTGACACTGTCTTCTAGTTCTATCAGTGGCACTCAGTTCATTGTTAAAAAGACAACGGATGAAATGGCCTAGACAAGCTTCTGAATTCCGTTAACAAAGTAGCCTGGTAGTTCCAAATTCTCCTCCAGTGCTGGAATTCCTGGTAGGTGGAAGAGTAGGTAGAGGCTGTAACACCTCCATGATTAACTGCCCTTTTTTTCAGTGCAAATTACTTCCATAGACCTTTGTGCTTCCATGTAGCTGTGTTGCTCCATTTGCTCTGTTTCCAAATTCTTTTTGGCTCTCAACTTTAAGTTTTTTCTCATTTGCTTCTTTTGACACGATACAGTAATTTCTGGGTTCAGTAAAAACAGTCAGGCATGAGAAGAACTAAACAACACATTTATTGTGGAGCAGCAGGCAAGTCTTTGCAGACCCTTTGTCTCTCTAACTACTCTGTACTTATGGACCGTCTCCCACTTCCAAACTTCCTCAGTGTCCTATGTTAGAGAGCATTCTGAATTCTGACTTCTTTCAGTATACCAGTTTCACATGGGCAAAGTGCAAAGGTACTTCCTACATTGATACTGTCTTGCTTTCCAAGTGTCACTCTCTTCACAGTAGAAGGCTTGGTGGGGTGGCATCTATGTCCAGTGTAGCACCAAATATTTTTATATTGCCTTTTAAACTATTGGCTTGGGATGATCCTAGTAAAGTTTCTTTTTCATAGGTCCACCATCATGTCCAGCTCTATCTCCAGAAATATCTTTGACGCTGAAGCTTCATGTTCCAATATGTCCTTCCTGGTCTTTGAGTTTTCAACCTACTCCCGAGTTTGGGGATAGGATGAGCTATTCAGTGTCTCATTCATAGGCTTTGACATGCCAGATCCCTCTGAAATAACTACGTGGCTGTTCTTCAGATTCTGGTTCAAGACACGGTGACCCATAGGGGTCCCACCCTTTTTCATCCTTCTTCCCAAATAAAGCCATTTTTCCGTCTCCACCAGAAAGTGGTCATCTCCAGCAGATGAGTGGTCCAGCGTCTTTCAGGATCTGATGTACCATATTGCCTCAGCCATTTAGGTTTCCTTAGAAGTTAGTGAATCTTCACACAAGCCAGTTAGCATCCTACCACATTTTAGCCCAAAAAAGGTTCTCCTTTTATTGTGGAGCAGAGGCCGTAATGGATCCTGCCAAGGCAATTTGAGAAACACCAGCTACTTGCATTTCAGCTGCCTGATGAGCAAACCAGAAGTACCAAGTCATTCCAAAAGGAGGGCTACTTTTGTATTAATACCATGCCCTCCTTTTTGGTTGTCACTGGGCGTGTCTACAGTGCAAATGCTGTGGGGTGAGTTTACTCTAGAGAAAATTACTATAAACTCACCCTGGGCAGGCATCTACACATGCAGGGATGTAGGAGCAGATTTGCTGCTCATGACAGCAGTCCGCTCCCACCCTGGCTGGCCTTGCACCCACCCCTAGTCACTGCCAGAGGGAGCTGGAGGCTCCTGCCACAGCTGCCTGTGGCCAGCAGCCATGTTTAAAAGGCAGCCTCATGCGCTGCTCCTGGGCCACCTGTTTTCCTGGCCTGGACCAGCATGCAGAGTACAGTGGCAGCATGCAGCAGCTCTGTCACTACAGCCTCTGCCTGCCACATCATTGCTGCTCCAGCCCATAGCCCCAGGAGTGACATCCACCACCCCAGGCTCTTGCTCACCACCCTGCTTGCCCTGCTGATCCGCTGCAGGGACCGCCACCTGGCCCAAGTCAGCATCAGCCCTGGCAGCTCCCCCACGCAGTGCAGCCACCTGGCCTGGCTTGCAACACCGTCCCAGGCCCCCTGCCACCGTGCTGTTGCTGCCCAGACCCCATACTGCCACCCAGACCCCAGCAGGGACACCGATGATGCACTCCTGGACACCACTGCCAGGGCCATACTTGCAGTCCTGAACCTCCAGCCTCAATGCCTGTAGGCCCACTCAGCCAGCTAGAACTGGTGGCTGCATGTTGTCCAGGCCACCTGGGATGATGAGCAATGGCTTGTCATTTCAGATGATGCGGGCCACTTTACAGGAACTCTTCATGCAGCTCTTTCATTACCTGGAGTGGCAGGATACCAACATGCAGTGGCTCCTCCTTGCAGAGACCTGGTTGGCCTTTGCCCTACTCAAGCTAGCTATGCTGACCAGCCTCTGGTACATCAGCCAACTCTTCAGTGTGGGCAAGGCTACTGCCGGGGGGAGGGGAGGGGCGGGGCAGGGCACCTTGGAGGTGTGCAGCATGCTCCAGAATGTACTGGGGCACACTGTGCTTCAGGTGCATGGCACCCCGGATGTGGTGGCAAGTTTCTGTGCTCTGTGCTTCCCCCAGGGCATCCAGGCCCTAGACGAGACTCACAACCCTGTCACCTGCCTGCCCCACAGTGATTGCACCTACTCTGTCATGTTCCAGGTTGTTGTAGACCACTATGGTGCCTTCACAAATGTGAATGCTAACTGGGCAGGCACTGCCCATGATGCCTGCATCTTCTGCAACTGTGCCCTGCCAGCCCTGGCAGAGAGCAAGCACTTTATGCCAGGGGTGTCAGACCTCCAGCTAGGCACAGTGGTGGTCCCACCCCTTCTCATCGAGGACCCCACCTACCCAATCCTCATGCAGCCCTACACCAACCAGCTGGACCCCCACTGGGCACATATCAACTGCTGCCTGAGATGGACTCACAAGCTGGAGGACTGCATCTTAGGCTGGCTGAAGAGATGCTGGCACACCCTCACTATCTGCCTTGAGGTCACTGAGGCCAACATCCTGAGCCATTGTCACAGCCTGCTTGCTGCATAACATCTGTGAGGCCTGAGGGGAGCTGTTTTGCAAGGCCTGGGGTGGAGGAGGTGCAGTTGGGCGGATGATGCCTGGCACCAGGAGCACCAGCTGCAGTGGTAGTGACAGTGGTAGGACACCCTCCTGGCCAAGGCCCCAGGTGAGCTGCTCACCTGGCATTGGGTGCTAAGGTACTGGGTGAGAGAGGTGGCTGTAGCCAGTTTGCATAGCCACCCGTAGATCCCCGCCCCACTGCGCATCCCAGCACCATGCTCACTGTGGACAGCTCTCTGAAAAGCAGTTATTCCCCTCCACACACCTAGATTCCACTTCCCTCCCTCTCCAAAAACAGAGCCCTTCCCACCATCTCTCCTCCCCACAGAGCCCCTCCACCACCCAACCCACTCACCACCAATAAAGCACCCTCTTCTCCATGCAGACTATGTGCAGTGGTATGTGTGCTCTCTTAGGGTGGGGAGCAGTGGGGTGGGAGTGCCTAGGGGCAGAGCCTGGGGACAGGTGTCCAGCATCTTGTGAACAAGTTAAGAGGCTGTGACTTGGATGACTACACAGTCCGGTGGGTGGCGAATTGGCTGGAGGGCCGCACCCAGAGAGTCATGGTGGATGGGTCGGTTTCGACCTGGAAGGTTGTGGGCAGTGGGGTCCCACAGGGTTCGGTCCTTGGACCGATACCCTTTAATGTCTTCATCAGTGACTTGGACGAGGGAGTGAAATGTACTCTGTCCAAGTTTGCAGATGACACAAAGCTATGGGGAGATGTGGACAC